CACAGACACGGTCCAGGTCAGCTCTGGGTGGGACAGAGGGTGTAAGAATGTGCTGGTCCAAGCGTGGCCCACAGCCCTAACCAAATAAGAACAGAAATCAAGAGTGAGCACAAGAAACTTCTACATGCCTTTTCCCCTTGTCAATTTGTCCCATTGTATTTTGTGAAATGCAATTTTGTGACGCTTGGATCTAATAATAGAAGAGAGATGGGGACTTGTATTTTATACGGCTTTTGTTTTTTCCATTTCATTTTCCCCGCCTATGTCATGGTTATTGCATTTCACAAAGGCAACAGTTTGCAATGGGTTGGAAGTTTTAAAAGCTGGTCCTTCTGCAAATAGCTGGAGATGCACTGGCTGGCCCCAGGGGGAAGCATCAAGAGCTGCACCCCCCTCCCCAACCCTGGGATAGGAAGTAAATACCCCAGGGGCCGCAGGGGAGCGTGGACCAGGCAGCCAGGAGCCCAGCCCTGCCCACACCACAGGGACCCTCCGGCTGCAGCTGCCCGACTCCTGGCCCTGCACAGACCAGGCATAAATACACGGATGCCCAGAGCCAGCCCTGCAGTAGAGAGGTCCTCCTGCCATCCTGCCAGGAGACATGAGGACTGCTGGGGCCACGGTTCTGGAGCCCCCCCGCCCCGGGTGGGCTTGCTGTGACGGCTGTTCCCCTCGGATCTTCCTGGTACCTCGGGTGGAAACCCGAGTTAGACAGCACAGGAGTAAGGAGGCTGTGCCTTCTTTTTTTAAAATCAAGCCAGTACCACCCCCTGTATGGGCTTTCCATTTGCTGTCCTGGCACCCACGTGGCCTGTGGGACAGGGAAACGGCCTTCTGTTCTGTGTTCTCTCCTCCCAGGAGCGGGCAGTAAGAAGGACCATTCAAATCCCTCAGTACCTAAAAATGCTGTTGGCTTCAACCTGGAAGAGAACATAGTCTGTGATTCCATTTGTACGAAGTATAAAACAAGGCAAAACCAAGCTATGCTGTGAGCAGCTAAGATAATGGTGACCCTGGGGCTATGCCAAAGAGGGGTGGGGATGTGGAGGCCTTGAGGGGGCTGTTCATGTGCTGTTTCTTGGCCTGAGCACTGTTGAAAGGATGCAATCAGTATGTGACAAAAAATTGTGCACATACGGTTTGTATGCTTTCTTCACGTATATTACATTTCAATAAGAAGTTTGGAAACCTATTGGTTCAACCACAAACGGCAAAAATAAAATAACATTTGGGGGCAGAGGTCTTGCTCGATGTTGTTCAGCTTGCGTGAAAAGCGCTGAGTCTTAGGACCGCAAAGAAGAACAACTGCCCTGTAGGAGAAGCAGGGGTCTGTTTTTTTGGTCGCTGTTTTCCCAGGTGGTGGGGGGCGGCAGGGTGGCTGATTCATTTTCCTTGCTCCCCCTCCTTCCTTCATCCCCACCATGTGGGGCTGGATAGAGGCCAAGGGCTGAGATTTGGGCTGTTGCCTTGGTAATGCTTAAATATTGGCTTCAAGTTATGATGGTAAAAGAAATAAGCAGGAGCCTTGGGGAGCTCACAGTGGCCCTGTGCCTTGCTGCAAATTCCAAAGTCATACACCAAATCGGCTCATGGGCAGTAAAGCCTGCAGCTGTCTGGTAGGACCGAGGACAGGTTAGAAGCTGCATGGCCCAGGATGCTCAGGGACCTGTCCTCCAGGCTCGATGTCCCATCTCTATAATAGAGTCCCCTAAAATTCTTTCTCACAGTGGTCTGGCAGCATAGTGGCCAAGAACCCAGATTCAGAGCCTGGGGGAAACGTTCTCCATCTCTGAACAGAGAGTGGGCAGAGAGGCGGCAGTTCAGAGACCCAATATCGCTGCTGTCAGGAACCATGTTCACTTTCAAAAGGCGAGGGCACAGAAACAGCCGTTTCTAGAAGCCAGGGGTCATGATGTCCTGACCTGGGAGGCACCTCCAGGACCTGGGAGCAGGACAGTTGACATTTGTAGCGGCGGCCGAGCTGATGAGGACTCTGGTCCAGGAAGTTAAACAGAGCTTTGCCCAAGATAAATTCTCAATTCCAGTCCTGGCTCTCTGGCCAAGAAGCTCTCTGACTTGGAGGTATATAGCAAGTCCTTAACTCATCTGGGCCTTGGTTTCCCCATCTGTAAGCCATTCTCTTTACAGATGGAAGCAGGAGAGAACGGACTCTGGCCCTGGGAACAAGCCCTTCCAGGCTCATGCCAGCACCCTCTCCCCATGTGGCTGCAGCAGATGTGCAGCGCGAAGTCCAGGGTTTACGATTCCGCTGCCCTCGGGGAAGTGGAAACTGTTCGCCTTGCCCATTCCAAAAGTATCCAAGCAATAAGCCTCCACTGAAGTCTTGGCTGAGAAGATCTGCTTGTCCCGCTGTGTGTGCAGAGGGGGGAGAGCGTACAAACTGGGGCAGGGGTGGGATGGACGGCTCCCTCTGGGCAACGCTGAAGCACTGGGCGGTGCTGGGAGGGGCCCTGAGGGTGTGACAACCAGCATTAGGTCACGCTGTCCTCCCCCTGGGTGCCATGTGTCAGCGTGCAGCGATTGGCCTGCACACCGTGATTTTACGGGCTGAGCCTTCCTCCGGCAGTCCTCAGCCCGAGGCTGCCCTTCCCCGCTGCCTCCTTGTTTTCTCTCCCGCCCGGCTCTGTCCGCCCAGGGCTCCATACCACACAGCCAGGCGGGTGTGGGGCGAGACACCGCACCAGCAGGGGCTGGGACCTGGGGGATGCTCCTTTTGCCATGGTGACCCTCTTGGGGCCACTGACAGCACATGATAATAGCGGAGTTCGTTGAGCACCTACTAAATGCTCTAGGTGATAGCTGTCCTTTGAGGGGGTGATTTATTTTCTTTGGCTGCCCTGAGTGGCTTAAAACAACAGAAATTAGTCCTTCCACAGTTCGGGAGGCCGAAGTGGAAATCACAGTGTTGGCAGGTCCACACTCCTGGAGGCTCTAGGGCAGGATCCTTGGGGCCCCTGCAGCTCCTGGGGGGCTCAGCTCTTCTTTGGTTAGTAGCTGCATCCCTTCCCTCCACCCTCTGCCTTGTCTTCACAAGGCCTTCTCTCCTCTTTGTGTGTCTCTCTTCTCGCAGAGATTCCAGTCACCAGATTTAGGGTACACCCTAACCCAGGATGATCTAATCTGGACATCCATAACCAACTATATCAGCAAAGACCCTGTTTCCAAATAAGGTCACATTCTGAGCATCTAGGCGGACATGAATTCGGGAATCCCCTTTTTATGGATGAGGAAAGTGGGGACCAGTGAAGTGAAATGGTTAGTTCAGAGTCCCTAGGGTAAGTGGTGGGGTCGGGACTCAAACCCATGCCAAGTGGTTGTAGGGCCCACCATCCTATCTCTGCCAGAAGCTGACATCTAAGAATTCCTACCCTGCTCATCCAAGCAGGAAGGGAAACAGGAGGAAAGTCCTTGGCCTTCAGAAGCAAATCATGCTCCCAAACTCCAGCTATTCTCTAACTTCACTTGTGGACGAATCCCCGAAAGGAGCTTATATACTCTTAGAAGTTCTGACCCAGTCAGTTCGGGGTGTAGGAGCTGGCAGGGTGGAGAGCCAGGATCTGCACTGGTAACGAGGCTTTGAACCCCATACAACTCAGTGCAGGAGGGTCCAAGACCACATTGTGAGAGGCCCGGAAGCATCCATGGGGCCCAGACCCACTGGACAGCAGCCCATCTCCAGCTCGAGGTAGGAGCAGAGAGCACAGTCCCACCAGAGGGACCGGTCTCCGCATCCACACCCACTAAGCCCAGCGCCAGGCCTGCAGAGAACCAGAAGTCCTTGTCCCACTGCAGCCAGCTTGGGCTAAGCAATCCAGGGAGGGGTTTTGATTCAAACTCTGGTTCCTGAAGGAGCCAGTTCAGGCTCTCTGAGAAAGCCCCAAGGCCACTGCGGGCTCTGCCCCAACACCACCATGGAAGATCTGGCAAGGCCCAGAGAGTGGGCCAAACCCTCTTTCCTCTTTACAATTCCAGGACGAACAGCTTTTCCCCTAGCCCAGCCCTTTCTCAGGGGGCATCGTGTGCGCACACCCTCAGTGCCAAGCAGTGACAGAAACCCAGCACTCCAAGTCCTCCCGGCCGGTGGGGGCTGCAGCCTTGCACAGTACCAAGTACAGCGCCCTCCCACCACCAAAGCCAGGAGGAAAACAGGTCCTGCTGATGGACAAGATGTCCTTGGCATCTCACTGGAGCTCACTCTACCAGGTCTCATGAAAACACATGAGCTCAGCTTCTGGACCGGCCACCAGCTTTCCGTGGCCCCTGCAGTGAGCAGAGGCTGTGCCAGTGACCACGCTCAGTTATCTCTGGCTTGCAGTCTGCTGCAGGTCCCCAACCCTTTGTGGTTTAAGGAGGGAGAAAGCAGGAAGGAAGGGATGGAAAGAGGGAGTCACATCAGCTAGCAGGCCTTGTGGGACGAGGGAGTGTCCCAGGATACCTAGGCAGTAGACACCTACTGTGTTTTTGCTTTTTATTGAGGTGAGATTCAAATAATGTAAAATTAACCAACGTAAGGTGAACAATTCAGTGGTGGAAGTTAGCACATTTTAGTGTTGTGTAACCACCACCTCTATCTGGTTCCAAAACATTTTCATCACCCAAAAGGAAACCCACTGCCCACTAAAGAGTCACTCCCCAACCCCTGCCCTCTCCTCTCAGCCCCTGGCAACCACCCAGCTGCGTTCTGTCTCTCTGAATTTACCTCTCCTGGACATTTATATCAATGGAGTCATACATTATGTGACTGGACATCAGGTGTTTTTACCTGCCCCATACCTCATTTCCCCTTCCCACACCCCTCCCCTCAGTCCATGTGGCTCCCCAACCCTGCTTGCAGGGGTGGGCACATGACACAAGCTTTGCAAATCAACCACCCTGATTGGTTCAGAGATGGGCCTGTAACCCAACCCCAGCCAATGGGGGCAACCACAGGACTTTTTCAACTTTTTCAAGAACAAGCATCCTTCTCTGCTTCTCTACAGAATGGGAGACTGGAATCTCAGGCAGCCACCTTTGCCGCCACGCAGGGAGCTCCCAAAGGAGAATGAAGCCCACTCGGAGGGAAGCAGAGACATAGGCCGAGGTCTGTTCTTACCAATGTTGTCCAAGTACCTGGATCCAGCTCTTCCTGAAGGCTTGAAGGCACAGCTGTCCCTGGACATCTCATTTTTAAAAACAACTTACTGTGCTCAAGCTAGCTGGAACTGGGTTTCTGTAAATAAATAATGAAAAGAAACCAAAGGTGACTCCATTCCCCTCACCTGCCTTCACATGTTCCCATTAGCTGGAACTGGGTTTCTGTAAATAAATAATGAAAAGAAACCAAAGGTGACTCCATTCCCCTCACCTGCCTTCACATGTTCCCATCACTATGGAATAAAATACAACTCCTTAGCAAGGAACACACAGCTTTCCTGATCCAGTGCCTCCCCCCTCCCTCTTCATCCTTGGACACCCCCACCCCTGCTTCTTATTTAATACACCGGCCACATAATTCACATACACACACAGTGTGTTTCCCAGCCTTTGGGTATCTACTCTTGCTGTCTCCCATGCCCAGAATGCTCTCATCACCCCCACCCTGACCCCCAAATGCTTACTCATCCATTATCATTCAATTCAGGCATTACCTCCTCCAAAAAGCCTCCCTGACTCAGTGCCCCACCTCTCCTCTGGCTGGAAGACTGTCCCCTGGGCTCCCCGCAGCCCTGTGTGTGGTTTGGTCACAACACTTGCCTACACGTTGTTTTTAATTATCTGTCCATGTCTCGTCTCCGCCCCTCACACACCCAAGTGGGGATCCCTTAGGGCCAAATCTGTGCCTGGCTCACTGCCGACCAGCACAATGTTTGGGCCATTGTAAGGTCTCAATACTTGTCTGTTGAATGAATGAATGAATGAATGAACAACATGCTTTGGAACACTGTTTTGCAAGGGAGCTTATTTTCCAAGTTTTCCCAAAGATATAAAGTTTAGATTTATGCCAGCAACCATCATGCAGGCCATGTCAGCTCCATTCTGTCCTCTTTTTAAGGATGCAGTTTCTAGGATTTCAGCAATTGGTTTTTGTCTTGGCTGAGATTGGACTGTGGGGCCCTCCCCTCCCTGGAGCCCAACCCCGCCCCCTTCCTGGGTGGAGTGACAGGGAAAGATGGGGCCCGCTTGCCAGCAGTGGCTCACATGGAGGCCTCTGACACCCACTGTTGATGACGGAGAGTAGAGAGACCTCTCCCCCAGCCCAGAATGATGGTGAGCAAACCTTCAGACACCATCCATATCCTGTTCTAAAGCTTCTGGTAGTGGTCACATTCATACTTTTAAATATGAACACCCAGAAGCTGTCAGAAGGGGTCGTCCATCACCTCCCTTCCTCACTGGGGGATTCTGATCTGCAGATCCGCCAAAACATTGAAGTCAGGCCTCTGCCCGCCTCTCACCAGCTGGCTCCGTGCACTTTGATTCACTGTCTGGGTCCCCATGAGCAGAGAGGTGCTCAGGAGGTACTTTGGCAGGGGCGGGACAGGGAGCTTCCCAGGCATATTCTTCTTTGCTCCCGGAGGTCTCTCTGGATGCCAGCGAAGCTATGAACAGATGGGTGGGGCTGAACTGGGAGACTCAGACTGCTGGGGCACCGGCTACCCAAGGAGTGCCTGAACCAAAAGATGAAGACTTCTAGATGACTTGACCTAGATGATGGGTCAAAATTAGTTATGGTTCCCAGGGTGGGAAATGACCATCCTTCTCCTGCCAGTCCCTCCATTTATTTGTCCGGGAGCAAAAGCTGTCTGTCTGCATCCCCCGTGCGTCATGGAGCTGCTGGGCTTCTAGGCCAGTTATCAGGTTTAACATTCCTGGAGGGCCTACACACCCAGCCCTGGAATTAGAACAACCTAGTCCATCTTATGACTCAATCAAGATGGGCTCCGCTGTTCCAGGCTGTGCTGGGGGGTACCCACCATTGGCTGAGTATCAGCTGGTCCTGGCTTCTCTCCTGGGGTCAGCAGGACAGGCCCAGGCTGGCTGGAAGCCTTGTCATCTGAGACTGCTCACCCTCCACCCGCCTCTGTTTGTAAGCATCTACACTTCCTACCATGCCATGCTCTCCTGTGGGTGTCACTCAGCAACCCTACAAGTTCTCAACCAGACCCACCCACCCTGGCGGAAGAGCACCAGACCCAGCTTTGAAAGTTTTGGAAATGACCGTCAAAAGTTGCTTCTCAGGCACTGATGGACAATGACTGCAATGGGGTGTGTAGGGGGGACTCGATTATATGGGAGAAATGTAGTAACCACATTGTTTTTCATGTGAAACCTTCATAAGAGTGTATATCAATAATACCTTAATAAAAAATTGTAATAAAAAAAGTTGCTTCTCAGGGATTCATTTTTGCAGGAACACTCCATTAATTTGTGGAGAAGATGGGAGTGTATCATTCATCACCAAACTCTCATCCAGAGCCCACTGTGAGCCAGGTGCTGTGCTAGGTAATGCGTAAAGCACAGATATTTAGGGTCGTGCCTACCCTGGACTCAAAAACAATAAAAAGAGTGAAAAATAGCTGTGAGAGCACATCAGTGAAGTGAAAACAAGAGAGCCAGGGTCCCTCTGAGGATAGCCCTCCTTTGTTTACCTGATGAGACAAGAATTTACAGAACATTCTGGGCCAGGCATTGTTCTAAAAACAAATGCTAAGCCAATTAATTCTCGTAACAGCTTCATGACATGGATACTGTTATTACCATATTTTACAGAAACTGGGGAAACAGGGGCACAGAGAGGCTGAGTAAGCTGCCCAAGGTCACACAGCTACTAGTAGCAGAGAGTCACTTGTACCTCAGCGGTCTGGCTCCAGGTCCCAGCCCTGAGCCACTGTCCAGGCTGCCTCTGCTAATGTAGGGGGGCTCTCTGGGCAAGCTTACACCAGCTGCCAGCCGCATGGGGAGCAAATGCCTTTCCTGCTCAGTTGGCCAGGCACAGTCACATTTTTCCATCTAAAATTACACTGGGGGCCAGGGGCCCACCCTGCTCATCCAGCCAACTCTGAGGTCAGAGGTCAGGTGGGCCGAGGGGCTCCCAGGGGAGCTGTGGTACTCCCTGGCTGGACAGCTGTCTGTCCTCAAGCCTTCAGGGGTGAACTACAGCAGCCACATGGGTCCCTGCAATGGAGCAGCCAGTGGTGGCCTCCCTGCTCCAGAAAAGTAGATGATAACACTTGCCTTGAATGAATAGCTTGTTCCTGAAGGAAAAACAAAACTCTGAAACCCGATTCTGGTAAGGTTGCTATCATTCTCCCAGGGAGAGGGGGAGCACTGCAGGGAAGGGCAGCTTCTTCAGGAACGGGGCAGCTCGAATGACGTCATCAGCACCATGCCAGGGAGAGCAGTCTGGAGGGCCCCCTGGCCCACAGCCCAGGTCGGGGGGGAGCCCTCGGAGGCCACTGGCTCCCTCGAGACAGCTGACTCTGCTGCTGGGACAAGAACTGGTGAGATTCTAGAAGCAGGAGGAGATCACGTTCCAAATGGTCTCTGCCCTCAGAAAGAGGCAACTTTGGAGCGGGGCAGCCCCAGCAGAATGGAACTCTGCACGGCCCCCATTTCCATCTCGGCCGCTGCTGTGTCTGCCTAACACGCCGTGTCACAGAGCTCCACGGGTTTCCTTTAAAGGGCATAGTCAGCAGAGTAAGTCTGCAGGCCACACTCCCCCGTTGAGCCTGCTCCACGCTGCCATGGCCGAGGGAAGGCAGCCTAATTCGGTATGGAAGGAATGGCATGGCTCGTCCCACTCACACTGTATTTATGGACGCCGAACTTTTAATTCCATATCATCTTCAGATGTCATAAAATACTATTTTTCTTTTGACTTTCTTCCTCTATTTAAAAACGATGAAAAACATTCTTAGCTTGCAGACTGTACAAAAACAAGCAGCGGGCAGTATTTGCCCTGCAGGCTGTCACTGGCCGATGTGGTGGCCGCAGCGCTGGTCCCAAATCCAGACATGAGGCTCCTCACGCGCCACCCTTCAGGGTCCCCAGGGCCTCGCAGGCCCCCACCCAACCTCTGCAGTTCTCAGTTCATGCCTCTCTTGCGGGTTCTTCCGAAACATTCTTCCTCCCTTTGCAACACTTGTTTTTAAGACTCAGTTCAAGGGTCCCACTGCCTCTCTTGATGCTCTGCTGGGTTTGAATGTGAAAATTGGTTAAAGAGAAGCCTCTCTGACATGGCAGAGGGAGGCCTGCAGAGGGCGCTCTCACCCACCATTCCTGGTCAATTGCAGACGCCGCAGGAAAGACGGACACATTTTGGCTACTGCACTATTTTGGCTACTTTACCCCCCGGTAGGAGGAGGGAAGAGTTTCCGCCTCCCTCAGCAGCAGCCCAGCAGCAGCCCGCTTGTTAGGGCTCAGCCAAGGAGCAGGCACAGCACGCGGGACGCCCGGTTCCCTCCTGCGGACTTTTTTGCTTAGAACAATCCCCCAAAACGCCCCCTTCTGTATAAGGGATCCTCCTCCCTTTGTTCTCTGGGCTTGCCAGGCTTTCGTCATAGTTTGCTTGTCCTGAGTTGCAATTCTCTGCGGTTCCCCAACAAACCCATTTTGCTGGTAAAATAACTGATAGCTTTATTTTTAAGGTTAACATGCTCCAGCCCAAAAACCAGGCCTGCGTGCGCTGGTTGCCGGGTCTGATAACCGCAGTTGGCTCCTCCGTCTCGTTGTCAGCTGGGAAGCTCGTGAGCCGAAGGCCTGGGTCTTTCATCCCCTATCCCTGTGCTTGGAACAAGGTACGTGCTCAACAAACACGAGGGATAATTTATCCTTCCTCCCTCCGGTTCCTGCCCCGTCCTCTCCCCGCCCCTAAAGTTAGTGGACCCCAGGGCTCAGGCTTGGGGTCTTCTTTTCCCCACCCACACTCTCATCCTACCTGAGCTCACCCCGCTTGGGCTTCAAGGCCGTCTGTGTCTGTCCCCAGTCCTGGCTTTTCCATGGACCCCAGATCCAGACACCCAGCCGCCCACTCCCACCTCCACGTGGATGAGGACCAAGTATCCTGAGCCTTCCACGTCCCACACCTGCGCATTGCAGGCTGCAGCACCCCGGCGCTGAGGCAAAGTCCCTGGAGCCCTCTCTTCCTCTCGCAGCCCTGATCTGATCCTTTCCCGCCGGCCCCGGCCACCAGCCTCTCACCCAGAGGGATGCAGAGGCTTCTTAACTGGTCCTCT